GTTTGAAAAATTACCTTCGAAGAATTGCTGTTATAAGTCACTTTAAAGTTCGTTTTTCTGCGCTTTATACATTTTTTATTAAGTTAAATTAGATAATTAACGCATATGGTTAATTTTTTATATTTTGTATTTCTTGTTCAATAAATTCAGTACTACGGACCTTTGGAACCCTTCTTTATTGCAACTGTAACTACAGATCTTTTATTATTTCAATAATTATGAGTCAACGTTTAGATATTTATCAGTGTTAGTAAGTTTGCAATAAACTTCAGTTTCATAGCAACTGCCAGTTAATTATTAAAATATCAAGAAAAGGTTAACTAGAAAAGGTAAATTCTTTTCTCTTTTAATGGTAAATATTTTGAGGGAATAGACTGCTATGGTGGTCTGACACCCTAATTTCATCATCACTGTGGCAAATAGCAATATCGTCAAAATATGTTTTGAAAACAATTTCAAACTGGTCATGTGTCACAGTTTAGGAATAGTGACTTAACCACTGAAAGGGAAAATAATTCTAGTCTGCCTTTCTTTGATATCTCATTAATTAATGAAGGTGATTGCGATAAGAGTAACATAACATAATTGCAATCCTATTAGATGATTTCTTGATGCTTGCTTTACCTAGCTTAGCGTATTCATTCGGGAATGCAAGATCTGGTCAGATTAAATCATGCAAAACTGTCACTCCAAAAATAAAGACCTAACTGTCAAGCTTAAGGTCATAAACTGATGATCGTGAAGGAGCATGAACAACACCTTGTAGAGAAGCATCCGGGAAGAAATCAGCCTCGCCATTAGCATACGTCAATTAACATTGTGAAATGTTCTCACGGATTCTGCAGCATCTGTCACATTAAGGACATGCCTGACGATAGACAGGGTATGCGGCATCATCAAAGAAAGACATTTGTGGAAAGGCTCGTCAAAGAGGCATTAATCTTCCAGTCCTTTGGCAATGTCAACCCTAATAAAGGCTACGAACTCTTCTAGGAATGGATGACCCTTGTCGCTAAGGAAGTATTTAGAGAATAGACCAAAAGTTTTACTTCAGACTACACGCGTACCAACTGCTGCGAACGATGTACAGATTTCCAAAGTAACTTAATGAATTTCCGTATCTTGAAAGCCCGTGAGATACGAGCGGAAACGTCTGCACTTGTTATTTATATTATTGATTATACGTTTTTGTGTCGTGTATAAATAAACCGTATTTTATGCTGTTTTTCTGAACGATCACCAGTGCACGAACGATTTACTCATTATTTAGTTTTTGCTTGTAAACCTGGTCAACTGTTGGGGGGGGGTGAAAAATTTCTCACCCTAGGACTGAAACAATATTATTATTGATTTGTGAATTTCTAGGACAAATTGATGGTCAGGAAGTGACCGCTGCTCCGGTCCTTGTTCCGAAAGGCATTCGAAGGCCGTCGCCTTGGCGACGCCCTCCGGGCGCTGGATGGCGTCGCTCTCCTCCGCGTTATCGACGAATGTAAGTTGTCTTAATGAAGTGTTGACCGGGATTTTCTTAAATCTTGAACAACTTCAGGTCTCGCTCTCGTTCGAGGTCTCGCGGGAGAAGACGAAGTGTCAGTCCACGACGTGGTCGCAGGTCTTCGTCCTGAAAAGAAGTATACCTTAATTACACTCATCTCTCGTAATCATATTAACACCTTTTTGCAGTAAACATTATCCACTTCAGTACGCTTTGTAATGCAATATTATGCATGTGCTTCGTAGCATCAGCAGATACCACGATGTCACTGCTAATGCTTTTTGCAGTTGTTGCCAAAGGAGCTTTGTCTTAAACACGAATTCCTTTGAGCAAAGAATTAATTTCACGTTGCTTCCGTGCAACAATCTGAGAAACTAGTAGTAAGATGGTAACCGACTTAAGTAAGTAGTATAAAATTCACGTATCCGCTGCCATGCTGTCCGATAGGACTGCTCCTTCTGGCTGCACTTCGTTTTGACTCATCTCATAGCTGGTCTATCCAGTGTCATAATTAGCACGATTTTGATTTATTATGAACTGTTTACAGTACGGATTTCAGTGTATAGCGATATATCAATAAGTACTGTACGGCTATTCACCAAAGTGACAATTACGTAATATTCAGAACTTTTAATCTACAATAATTTGTTCCAAATATCTGAACTGTTAAAAACAGTACAAAGGTATAAAAATTAAAACCACGCCAAAAGTGAAAACAATACATCGACAGAACATGACTGAGTCTGATTGGCGGGCATCATTATAATGTCTGAAGTGCGGATGCGTGGTTTTCTTGTCGAAACGTTTGAAACGACGTTACTTGTGATGATCGACGAAGCTCATTCCGGTAAGAGACGTGAGACGATTCCTACAAAGGCAGTAATGAGTGATATAAGACAGGACTTGTAATAATTAAATCGACATTAGATACATACAATGAGCTCTCCATTTAACATGTGGTATTTAAATAAAGTAACTGTTAAAGTATTTTTCAAATATCTTCTAGTGACCGTTTTCAATAGACACCGTTTCAACAATCAGTTTTATGCGCGACATTATAGTAGCATCTAGTTATTCTGACGATAGGATGACAAAGAACAAAAAAGTTACAAACAAAGATTGATAAATAAGATGGTAAAAATGCAAGAAAAGAAAACTGGTCAAATGTTGGATGGAGGAGAAGTGGAGTGAGTAATGAAAAGTGAAAAAGATGAGCCGGGTAACTAAAAAAAGGAGGTCTACCGTCTTTTTAATTTTTTTCTTTCTGAAATTATTTGGCCCTCTGATCAACCTGCTACAATACGGGAATATTCTACACTGTTCTTTATAATTACACTGCGGTAAGCTTATGGCTTTCGAACCGAACTCTGCTTAAAGTCTGTGAACTTCACTGCACAATGAGTAGGTGATATCGAAGAAAGTACTGTCTTAGACAAAAGTCGATCCTAGTTGCAACCGTAATAAACGATGTGAATTGCGCCCATCTGACCTCTGCAACCGATAAACAGGGGTAACTTTGACCGACCACCGTAGCTTCCACTAAAACACTGCTATATGGTGATGAGCTGCTCTGATCATCTAGGGTTTTTATAGACATGTTTATAGGCATTGGAATATCTGCAAGAGGGGTTCCTTCTCTTTGACTAACTATTACTTGACAAAAGACTGGCAGGAACTTCAAAAAATTAATCAAACTTGGACGTAATCCACTAAATGAGGAAATACTCAATTCGTACCACAGTGTGGGTAAGTGCACCTTTTTTCGCTCCTTCTGAACCCTATATTGCACACCGATTCTTCTCGTCTCCATTGAACTTTCGATCCCACACTGTGTAACTTTATCCCCTTATACAACTTATGGTCCAGAGTGGTATTCCGTCCATATCGGTATAGACTGAAACTCATCTGCGGTCCAGTCCAAGCCGACAATATCTCGGTTTTACTGAATTATTACTAAGCCTACTGCTGTAACTAATCCTCAGTATTGTTGCCTGCATATTTAACCGTGGTATGGATTTAGGTTAACGCGTAATGGGGCAATGTACACGATATAACTTGAAACTGAAAGCACGCTGGTTTTATTCCTTATTGGTATGGGCAGTTTACTACTCTTGATATATATGTTCCCAACATCTTGACCTCCAACTAATTTGTTAACTGGCCTCAAAGAACAGCGTTTTCATGTCTTACCTTAAGTAAGTGCCACTAACGTAATGTTGCGCATTTAAATAAATACGCTCTCAAATTTTCATACTGACATTTTCCTAAAATGGAGAATGCCTTCCGAAGCGAATGCGGCAACCACGAAAAACTCCAATTAGACGGCGTGACA